CAGTGGATATGAAACATGATATTATTGTATTTCCCCTTGTCGGAATAGTCATTGCTTTTTAGTGTATCGTAACTTGGCAGCTAGCACAGCTTATTGCTGGAGTTTTATTTGGGGTAAATACTAAATGAAGAAGGAATCACTTAATGAGAGAGGTTATATTCAAAGTAATATAATTGTTGTTGTAATAAAAGATGTTGAGAGAATAATGAACTTCGGAAACGGTATCCTCTATCAATTTATCTAATTTATAGAAACAAGAATATTTAATTAATTATTGTGGGAAAATGACTAATATGTACCGTTGCTATCTTCACCGCTTTAGACAATATTATAACAAAAACAAATCAAGTCCATTAAAGTACAACCAGTTTGGATAAATATAAAAGCGTTTATAAAAGCAGCTGTCCGTTTTCGCAAAGTAGAGATCATTAGCTAGAAGTCCGATGTAATCTCTTCTTGTTCGTGCGCCTCGCTGACCCTTAGGGTCAGTATTAATCTCCTCGATAAACCGCTTTCACGGATCTCTTGAGGTATAGCTACAATGGAGTTCTTTGACATCGATTCTATTTACTATGAACAACTTCAATTCATTGCATTAGTATAAAGTAAGTTGTTCAATTTCAAAAAACTAAATGTTTCTGTATAAATTTATTTATTCCAATACTGTCAAATATTACTAAATCTTAACTCTTTTCAATTTGTTATCTAGAAGCCGCAACTTATCATTTGCAATAAATTGCTGATAACTATCACTATCTACCTACAATTGTGTAAAATTGTGAACAAACAAACAAAATGTGAGGAAACAAATCGCCCAATACTTATGTATTTGTACATTATTGTAGTTAGCTTAAATGATTGCTTCTCTTATAACATCTAACAATGTTGATTAATGGATTGTACAAGAGAAGAAAATAAAAATATTTATATTAAGTACCATTTACATTTTGTACGTATAATATCAGTAAAATATTGAATTAAGATTTACCTAAATCATACCACCGCTAGATTGACTATTAATTGTTGTTCTAAATCTAACGAGACACATGTGTGTAATAAGTAAAACATACTGTTAACATAAAAACAAAAATGGAGACCTTAGAGGCAATGTTTGGACATAAATTGATGTCATCTTGTAGATTATATTAAATTATGTGCTTAGATTTAGTTATTTAATACTGTACTCACCACTCAATCTCTCTTGTATGTAAAAGTCACACTTAATCTTGTTTGTAAACAAATGTATGAATGATTTGTAAAGATAAAACGCAACAAACACGTGCGCACTCTAAGACTCCTGGAGTCAAACTGAACGGAGAGAGGCGAGACAGAGCACAGCATGAGCACTGAGGCGAGTCGAGTAGTGTAGCTTGCGCCTGCGCACTCATACTGGTCCTTTGCAAATCGAGTTCATCATGATAGTAAATATACTAAATCAAGGTTTTTTCAAGATCCATGGACTCATTTTAACTGCAGTATATTTATCTCATTGCATATAGGTAATATAGTCTTTGAAACAACAACGTTTGTTGTATTCAATATCAATCTGTTCTGCAAGTTGTTTATACTGACTAATAAGAGTATTGACGGGTTCATAAGTGGGATAAAAATTATATTAAAAAGCCTTTTTTGAATTATTTGTATAACCTACAAGTAAAATAGACTCTGGAGAAAGTTGCCGCACGAGTCTGAATACGGTTTTTGGCCTTTTCAGATTAATGTATGTATTTATAAAGGCACGAGTGTACCGACTGCGAAAGCAAGTGTTATATAAACAATTTGCGAACCCAGACAGATGTCAGATTTGCAACTGGCCTAGTATCAATGCCTACGAGTAGCGTGGTGTCCATTTAAATGATTAAAACTATAGCTTCAGACCATTTTAATTCCTATTACCTTAGAGTACAGGTCGTTATTGCTCAATTTCAAATGTTCTCGATTCGGTAAAGACAAGTCGACATAAACGTACGAAACGTATCTACGGTTCAATCGAAAATAACGAGTCACGAGAACGAAATTTAATTTCTTATCCAAAGAGAGAGAATGGATATGGATGTTGAACATTGTATACGGTATTAATAACCCGAATCCGTTAGTTCCCACGGCCCGGTGGACATCTATCGCGGACTCGATAAACCGGAATCGAACATCATATACCAAAAAACACATTGGTTTTATCAAACTGAGACAACGACCTACGTCTGGTCTGGGCCAGTTTTAAACTTTTCGTATTATATTAAAACAGTTGTTACGTATTAAAATCCCATAAGTATCATATTATTAAGCAAAATACCAGAAAGGACAGAGAGTGAAGCTTTTTCTACTATCTCAACTTTGCCTGTAGTACTACCTTGAAATTTGAAATTAAAAACAAAGTTTTAGATAAAATATTTAGGAATAATAAGAACGGTCAGTGAACTAAAGTTCTAAGAATATAGTTTTACCCGAACTGTCTCATCTTTCCATCTTTATTTCAAGCTTTAATTTTAAGTTATATTTTACGAAATAAAAATGTCAAACGATAAAAGGTGTTGAAGTATTAGATAACATGAGCTACTTTACAAAACCGCGTCGCCGAAACGGACATTGTTCACTTTACGTAATCGTTGCATGAATCCACTTAAAAAAGGATCATTGTCCGAAAGTGAGAAGTATTGTGTGTCACGCCAGGTAGCGACGCGCCGCGCAGTGCTTTAAGTATTTTGAAGCGTGTCACCATAGATTCCCACCGACAAAAATTCGGTACAAAAACATTATTGTCTTTGTTTCTTTCAGAGAGTATGAGAGGGAAGAAAATATATTGTTGTTTGCATGGAAACCCAAAATAATTATATACAACGACCACAATAGAGAAACAATAGTAGACAGATTTCATAGAGTTGTGTATGCTTGTTATAAGTAATGTAAACTTTGTTGTGATTTATGACCTCGGATACAGAATACTGGTATTGCTACTCGTATGAATTATTATTATTGTTTCTCTTACAAACATCGGAGATACTGTGTAGGTAAGCGGAAGAGTTTGAAAGTTAAAAGCGCCTAAAATAAACACTGAGTTAGTGAGGTGAAATTTTTCTCCCTACAATCGGAACGTTCTAATCCTCAAATGAAATTTATACGTGTAAGTAGATTTAAAAAGACAAAAGTCTTTCTCAATTGAATATCCGAGATGAACATTTCAATTAAATTGTATGTTTATGACAACCTTTGAAAGTTGGTCTAAAATTCAGTATTTAACGAAGTTAGAGCTAGTCACGATTTCTTGCATTGCGGAAAGTAGGTGATTAATTAGTCTTTTTACAGATATCAGTGAGGCGTGCACAAGCCGAGCCGCTCCGGCTGCGCGGTCTCGGTAAAAGTGAAACCGATATCGCGCCCCGATCTAGCCATTTATCAGGCGGCCATTTCTTTCCTATCTGAAACTTTCGCGGCTAAACAACTACACGGATAACAAGATTATACCTATACGTACGATTTGAAAGTCTTTACGAAACTAGACACGCGCTATGTCACGCTATCCTTTACAGTCCCGTGCTGGGATAAATTGATAATTTTTTTTTAATTTAAACCATTTTTTAACGGTTGTATTTTAATCAAAATAACTGGAGCAATATTTTTTTCAATTATAACAAGAGAAAGTTCGTAAGAGTTTAAAAAATCTAGGTTTGTTGTAGTTGATGCTGATATTTCCTAATATAAACATTTCCTTACTTGTTGATTAAGGTGACAATTTTTTAAGCCTACCGGATTCCATAAACTTATGCCTTATTCTTAAAAACATGTCATATTAACCTCAGCTGTAACCGCTAAGTTAATAATTGCGGAGTCTTAATATAACCCAGATTCTTTCCCAAACTTCACGTACCGAAAAGTTTCAATTAGGGACTTTTGCGAAGCTGTTAATGTTACGGTGGTTCGTCATGTGTTACGAGCGTAATTCATTAGTACTTTGAACAAAGATGCCGACAATATTCGCTCACTGACGCTCATGTTAATTGTATGTTGCAATCATAACGGAACGATGAATCATATGTTAATGAAGACATTATGTTACTACTGATGTAAATTTTAATATTCATTTTTTATTGTTGCTGTAAGGCAGGTCATGCTTAGGTTCAAGATCAATATGTTTTTTTTTACCTCACTGGCCTTAAGCTGTGTGCTATAAGACGTTACAATGGAACGGTATTGTGACTTTCTGCTACCTTACAGTGGTCCCTATTCTTTCTGTAGTCCTAATAAGTTGAGTTTACTTATATTTATCTTACTTTACTTGATAGTATAAATTCTGTCTTTATACCGATAGTGCAATTTTTGCAACGACTACTTATCGTCTAGCTATCTTTGTCCCACACCATTTGACCACATAGAGTGGAACGTACGTCTATACTTAGTTATAATGAAAAAGCAAAAGCTTGTTTCGTTTCCCAGTGTTGTGATTGTTAGCTTGAGTGTTTGTAGTCGGTACATCAAGGGCGGGAGCGCGCGATAGGCCGGATTATCTTCTTATTTATAGCGCACTAACAAGACGCAGCGTTCGGACGTTCTCGATCCTGTCGAGAGATTAGTGCCACAATTGAAAGGAATAATGTCTCAGCACCTTGCCATGAGTTTCCACTGACAAAACACCTGCAATGTAACACATTGTAATTTTTTTCGCAAATAGAATAACATTTACAAAATAAATCTTGTTCTTAGGTAGCGATAACATTTTCGTCGTGTGGTTTAAGAACACGAACTGTAAATTATAATTCTATTCTATTAAATCAAACACCATTAAGATCTGAAAACAATGTATTTTACGGAGGAAAGTGTGTTTTCAGGCTTTACCTTTCCATTATTATAAGGCAGTCAGGCACCTTTCTAGCCGACAGAAAGACTTTTGCCGGTCTTTCATCAACTATTCCTTCAATTGATATAATGCACTTCTGATAGTTATCACTGGTACATAAATAATATTTTTTATCTATTTTGTTACATGCTTGCTTTCATCTACATAGGATCAGGTATGTACAAAAAGAAAAACATTTTAAATTTATTGTGTGAGCCAGAGCGTGATCATGTGAATTCATAACTTTAGTAATAATGACGTATTTTAGTTTAAGTATATCGTAAGTATCAAATAGAATGTTTGTCAAAAAGCTTTGTAAGAACGCGAACTAGGAGATTTAGAAAGCTAGCTATAGATTGCCACTTCCCATACAAATAAATAATTTAGTTCAACAAGATAATGAAAAAGTTTTGGTACAGTTTTGAATCCCTTTTGGATATAAAATAATTTAGAAGTAAGTCGTTTGGCTTGCATTGGCGATAAAGCATCTTGGTGTTAGGAGATAGTGAGTGGTGTAGAGGCGCAGAGGCGCAGTGTCGCAGTTGTTGTGGTGCTGAGTGAGAGTGATGTTTCAGTGCGGCTATCTCGAGGGCCTGCGCTCATCACTCGGTGGCTGGACGCAGAAAGTAAAGTCGTGGTACTGGGGACGACCTCTAGTAAGTGACCCGGCCTCACGCCGACGGATCGACCGAACTGTCCTAGCACATTGAAAATTATTACTTTTGCACGATGTTTCTTTTAACAAAAAACATATTTTTTTACAATTTATTTCGATTGGATATATTACGCTTCGAACGAAACGATTGCTTGGTGTTTATAGTCTACATTTTACTTATTGTATGTTTTGTCACATCAGTTACGGGCGCACTTTGATTTCGTTTTGTTTTGAACAGCTTAATTATTTTCAAAATTTCTCCTTTCATTTTATTAAGAGGTAGATAGCACACGTCCAAATTTAGTCGTAACGGTTTACTTCATTAGCGTGTAGAAGTAAAATGTCTGAATTGGATCGAGCTAACATCTTGCATGACGGATTTAGTAAATATATTTTCTTTAGATGTAATAATCATGAAATTCATCGCGATTCGTTTCGTCCAATATCCCAGGCAATTCATAGGACTTTCAAAATTTAGTGCATGTTGACGTACTGGCATTTTATTGAATTAAAAAATTATGTTTACTTTATTTTTCGTATTTTGTGTACATGTGTAAAATACTAGCGTTACGTTTAATTTTGTAAATTTTTAATTTGCGTCATATTTTTTTGTTTATTTTATAACCTGTCCAGTTTGTTCAAAAGGTTGGGTTACCGACTCTCCATAACATGTTGTACACTTGTATCGAATACCTTTGTACCACGCCACCGAGTGATCGATACGCATGATTCCAGCCTCCAGCCTCCAGCGCACATCTCACTTACAGCTCGTCGACACACTCGACTACAGATCACTTACATGATGTAACCGAAGGCGCAAGGCCGCCGCCGGCGCCGGCCGTGCCCCAGCTCCCCCGCCCTCTCCGCCGCCCAGCTACACCCTCCGCAATTGTTCTTAGAGCACTCGATTGTAACGAGTAGAGGCTGAATCAAATCTCGCTGTAATTAGATATGTAGCCAAACAATATAGTATGGATGTGGTACTGTTAGTTGTTAGGCCGTAGCAATCGAACAAATCCCACTCCGGGGGTACGGCCGACGCTCGGGGAAGCCACATTTTAAGTTCGTCTTACATTATAAAACTTATTGCTCCCTGTGTGGGGGTGGCGTGATCACGTATTGACGTGTTTTGTAACTGTTGCAGGAGTTGGCCCATAAGTTGTCGAGAAGCTTCGACATGAAGGAAGACGGTGGCGCGGGGTCGGAGGAGCGCGCGGGCATGCGCCGGCACCAGTCGATGCAGCGCCTGGCGCACGGTGAGACGCAACTCGAAGAGAGCCGCGCGGCGCGCGTGGTGCCTGACCATCACGGCAACCTGCACATCACCGTTAAGAAGACTAAACCGATACTCGGGATCGCGATAGAGGGCGGCGCCAATACAAAACATCCCCTGCCGAGAATAATCAATATACATGTGGGTTTGAAATAAGTAAAACTTTTCAAAAACGTACGCATAGAGACGTTCATGTTTCGACGGCGAAATTATTCGACTCTAGCTTTTAGACTTTCTTAGTCTCACCTCTCCCACCGTTGGCGGACTTAGGATACTTAGCTAGTTGCATATTTCTTTTGCGGTTAATCTAGATCCAACGATTATTCACAGTTTTTCTCCTCACATCAGCCGGCAAATCATTCAAGTCTTATTTGATTAATTTCGATAATAGCATTTCGGTGATTAGCTTCGTAGTTAATGATAGTTTAAGTGCGTATTCTGTTGTATTCGAATGCGAAGTCGTGTCATGGTAAAATAACGCTTATATATTATTTTCTTCCATCAATGTAAGAATGTTGCAGGAACACGGTGCGGCGTACGAGGCTGGGGGCCTGGAGGTGGGCCAGCTGATCCTGGCGGTGGACGGGCGCCGGGTGGAAGGCATGCAACATCAGGACGTGGCCCGGCTTATAGCGGAATCCTTCGCCCAGAGAGAGAAACCGGTATATCCCATTTCCATACCTTATCTCACTTAAACAGAATGTTTAAAGAATGAATAGGATAAAGATAATTAATATAGTATTGTTTTGTTGAATATTACAACATCTTAAAATGGTATTTGTAAACTTTGGTATTAATTGTTTACAGGAGATCGAGTTCTTGGTCGTCGAAGCAAAGAAATCAAACCTGGAACCAAAGCCGACAGCTCTAATTTTTCTGGAGGCCTAACATCTACTGTCCCTCCCCGCCAGCGACCCTCCGGCCGCGCTGGGCAGCGCGATGCCGGGGGTCGACCTCACCGAGCACACCACGGAATAGCCAACTCCAACCTGCGCTGTCACATGCTCTTCTAAGCCCGCGCTGCGCCCTCGCGTATGTGTCGCCGTCGCGTCGTACACTTGATACGGCCCGACTGGCGGCGGCCTCGTGAGCGGACGAAGCGAGGTGCGCTCTACGCGGTAGACGAGTCACGACCGATATCGTTACCAACTTTTCTAACCTGACGTTGCAACGGACTGATATGAGAGACTGGATGGCGATCTAGAGCAGGTATAAAGATGGCTACAAAAAGAATGGCACAAGGGAGGCAAATAAATTTAATATAACTCGACGATTTGTCTTATAACACTTAAATATAATAATGTAAAATACACTGCCCGATTGAATATAATACGTCAAGAAATTATCGTCCCTATGAAGTTAATTATTACATCGGGAGTCTAATATGGGTAGTGTCAAAATTTTTGAACATATTTTTCTAGATGTAGCCTATCAATCAAAATTAATAGTAGTCATTGACTGAATTTTGTAAAATCACATGCGGTAACAATTGTTATAATTCGATAAAAACCACTTTAATCTACACAATTAAAAAAAAATCGGCGATAGATCAATTCGTAGTTTCAGTTCCGCACTTAAATATATCTAGATTTGTAAAATATTGACGATAACATAGAACTTACTAAGTCTCAGTTGAAACGAATCGTGCTAATTTATTAGAGTGGCATTGGTGCTATGGAAAGTTACTAGAGTGTCGGAACATTAAAGTCGTCATTATGTTAGTTGTCAGTAGGAATCGATTCGAGCTTGTATCGTCGCGCGGTAAGGTGTTCATGTCACTCCACTCGCTGTCATCCATGTGCCATGAGGTTTGCATCAGGAGGAAGGGAGTTCATCTCCAACGTCATCCCAGCTCGTTGTACCGGGGTAGAAGCGGCCGGGGCGAGGCCTCAGCATTCGTCATTCGTAGAGCAGAGCTTGCAGCACAAGGCGCGCTCCTAAGCAGGCTGCTTTTTAATTATTTTTATACTTTACCTTTTACATCTTTATTAATTTTTATCTTACATTTTCCAATTTGATTTTTAAATATTTTATCTTAGGATGAAAAATCTAAAGTTTCAATGTAGAATTTAGTGCATAGGGTTGTTTTTAGAACCATTTTAGTCGGCAATTACGCCAAATTAAATAGATACGAAAATTGATTTTGAATTAAATGAATCAGTCAGCTTAGAGAGTAGAAGATCGAAGAAGCGTAATGCGCCAAACATGTCATTCCATTGGTAGATGAACGGTGAGTTAACGAAATTATGGCGGAGAGGGATTTTAGCCCACTCACATTTTAACCGTAGTTATAAATAGTATTAATTATAATGAATGTGTGCAATATAATCGATTTTATGTTAGAAGTTAGTCGCTGCGATATCGATATTGTAGGCAATGAAATTGTGAACTCTTCAGCGCAGCTAAGACGAATACTTTGGATTGTCTTCAATATTGTTAGGCACAAATGTATCTTCAAAATCAATATAAATTAATTCAATACGATTGTCGCTAAAGCTTTCAAATATTACATACAGCTGTAGATATTGTACACGTTCTCGCAATTGTATTATAAAAACATATGTTTAATCAATTGTATCTATCATGTCTATATTATCATAAAAACAATCGCCTGTACTTTATTGTAAATATACCATGATGTGTCTGTTCTTGTAAGCTGTAAATATCCAACGTGAATGTATTGTAAAATAGAATTTATACAAAATATTTAATAAAGTTAGTGCCAAACAGCATTTAACACTTTCTCGACTATTTAAAATGTGTTTATTACCGAAATAAAAGCATCTTAATGGCGTTTGATGTTTCTGTAAGTAGTTATGTGTAATGTATACTTATGACTTCACAGAATGCGCTTCTAATTTTAGGATTTTATACCAATCATTTTCCAATAATAAAGAAACTATTATTACGCATTATTTTTAGGTATTAAAAGTTTATACTTTCACTATATACGATGATATGATGCCACAGTGTATCTAAGTTATTTCAATATAAGGGAACATACCCGTACTACGTAACCTTTTTTTTAGTTTTTTCTAAGTTTATTAAGACTGCATGCATACTTAAATTATTAGTGAACAATGTATTATGATAAAGAACAACTAACGACTACGTCACAAAAACCTGAGCCCCCCCCCCGCTCCTGTGACTGACCGTAGTATTTTAAACACTCCACTAACCCCCCCTCCCCCTAAACGGGTCACATAGTATGGGTACGTTCCCTAATTTTTATGTTCAATTTTTACATCGTGCTATTTCATTTCAAGTATTTGAGTAAATAAGCCACCATTGTTTGTATATTGTAATTGCATATGGACGTTATTTAATACATAAAAGTGATTATCAAAAATTTTATCAGTCTGATTTTACGGATTTTTTAATTTATATTTCAAATCTTAACCATTTCATTTTGAAATAAACAAAATAACAACAAAACAGCATACACAAATATAAACTAACGGTGACATTCTAATTTTTTAATTAAAATGTGATAAAAAATAATTCTTTAAAATAAGTTAATCCGTAAAGTTAGTTTTATTGTGTCTTTAAAATTATTTAGTGTATTATCTTTACTGGTGACGCAGTAACTTGAGATTTTTGTGTAAAATCAAATTACTTAAGGTTTCTATCCAAAAATCTCGTGTTTCTGTTTAACTAAGGTGTAATTGTAACTTACTTTAGAAAGGCTCTGCGCTCGCCTAGCCTTATTTGTGTCAATTCTTTTATGTACTTATCACAATTTAAAAGCAATTTAAAAGTAGGACTAAAATATGTTAATTGTATTGCAAAAATATATTTACCTATTTACGTAACATGTACAATAACACGACTCAATGTATCTGATTGTTTACCAACTGTACCCGACTGTTTTACTTAAAGGGACTTTTCCAAAATGGTTCTTTGGGCAACATTTCCTAGTGTTTCCGAGCCGTCCATTACTTTTTTTGCGTTTAGTTTCGTCTCTATGATATATTCGTGGATATTGTAAGGGCTGTCTTAACCGTATTGGGCGAACAGGGACGAAAATTAGTTTGGCGTCCCTAAAAATAGTACATACGTCCTTTAGCTGGCGCCCTTCAGGACCCGGCGCTTTGACGCCCCGCACTGGTTAAGACGGCCCTGCGCATTGTATTTATCTAATGTACATACTGCGTACGCAATATGTTGGTAAACATTTCGGAGTAAATATTTGAATTTAATCGCAAAGTTGATGATACTCGGCGCCGGCGTTCCGTTGACGTGATCTATGTTGTATGTAGTCTGTTGTTAAGTTTGTCGTTGGTGACAAAAATATATTGTTATCTAGATAATCTGTTGTTTTATTTAGTGGAAGGATATCTACAAAAAAATCTGTACTTATTTTTTAGCATCACGAATCTAACCTATGTTTTAAGTTTAATGTATGGCCAAAAATTGTCCTTTTCCACGCTATGGTGAGACTTTTTTTTACATTTAAAAAAAATCCCTCCTAAATGCCTGTAGCACTTTGTAATAAAATTTTTATTTGAATATTGCTAATTAATTTTACCAGGCGTTATAAGCATTTGAGAATAAAACTAATAAAATCTAGATCTTGTAAAAAAAGATTTTGAAACCTACACATATCATGAAAAGTCGGTCATTACTCAATTTCGGTCGGTAAAGATTTTGGTATATTTACATCTGTGTTACCTTATCAAAGTGATAGAGACCGAAAGAATACAAAGTTAAATTTATTATGGAAAACTCTACCTAGTTTTTCATAGTAACAATTAGTAGACAATGCTGACGGTTTGAAAAATGAAAGAAAAATAATTATCTTGTAGTTGTGAATATGAATTCTGGTCGTGAAGACATTTTTTTGCTCAAGCAACAATAATTGTACAGTTTTCATTACAAACTAGACCACAAATTGTATTATATTTTTGTATCGGAGCGCCTAATAATATTTTGTCTATCGAGCATCAGAAGCGAATTCAAATAATTCATTTTAATCAGGAATTCAAGCAACACAAATAGAAAGTTCTAGGCTCTCAGTACATGGAAATATTTTTCTTTTTAAATTATATCATAAAGATAACACATGCAAGTATTCCATAACAACGATTGACGTAGAATTCGTGGAAGAACTTATCATTACAAACAAAAGCAAATATCGTAAGATTATGGATGTATATATTGTGATTTTAAAAACAATGTGATAAACCCAATAGTTTTTTTTTCTTGTCTTGACGATTAAGTTTGTAAACTTTCTCCCGAATGTCACATTTTCAGTAAACGTATACTATCTTATAATTTTAAAGATTAATGGAAAATTAACTACAATCTGCAATAACATTGAAAAAGACGCAACTCAATAGTTTGTTTTTAAACTATAATATTGAAGTGAAACCTTTGCCAGGGGTTAACTAGATTCTAGACAACATACAAAAACCAGCAGAATCTCAGATGCAGTGGTCTTTATACAAAAAGAGAGGAGGCAGGTGAAAATAAGACACGTACATTACATGAGACATTTTAACTAAATATCTTGTATAGTAAAGCTTAAGACATCGTTATTCGTAAATATATTATAGGTTTGAATATTTATAATAGGTGAAAAGCACTCTTCTTGTTGCATAGGGTAGGTATTTTATAGAACCTCGAAACTAAATGTCCTTTATAATATGTTGACAGATTTTTATGAGTTTTGTGTAAATATTTATATTGTAGTTTATCGCCTAGTACCCTCACATGACGTACTTTTTGCTGAAGTGCATTAAAATATTAAATGTACGTATCAACGCCAAAGGTCGAGACTTTTTTTATGTTCTTATCTAACGCATCGGCGTTGGGCGCACCAGGTCTAAAAAGTTATACATTAATATAACACACGATCTACTAATTTTTAGTTTACAGAGTAGACAAAGAGAATGGCACTCTATTGAATTTGAGAGAACTCAGATACGCCTTTGAAATTAAATCAATAAAAATCTGTTTTA